GCCCTGGGTGTGCAGGTGCTATCTGTAGAGAATTTCCTGAAAGGACAGACACCAAAATCATTAAGTTGGAAGACTTGGGCAAGGCTATTGTTATCCTTGAGACCCACAGATCTGCCACCTCCTCCACATTTGAGCATAGACACAGAAGGCCACAGGTGTGAAGGGTCTTTAAATAAACAGCAGAATTACCAGACGGCATGGAGTCTTATGGGAGCCCAGCTTCGGCCACTCAACAGCTACCTGCCTGGCAGCTGTGGAATCTCTCGGAACCTCAGGGTCTTCCTTTCAAAGGGAGTGAGAATGGGAAGGACGAGGGCTTGGACCACAGCTCACTGCCCTGTCCCCAGTGTGTACCAACATCCTTTCTGGCTTGAAGGGGTACCTGCCCACAGTGCCCATGCGTCAGTGAGACGTTGAGAGCCTCCCATAGACAACCCACCCATCATGGAAGGCATCACAGAGCAGAGGTTCAGAAAACTTCCTAAACTGAAGGAGACCAGAGCTCCCTGCTGATCACTGCTGCAACCACCAGACTGGTCTTGGGATGTTTCTGCCCATGCATATGCCCTACCATGAAGCCCCAGAGGGACCCACCTCAAACAAGCCAGGACCAAGGCTGGGTTTGGCGACATTCTGATCAGGGCCCAGGCCTGAAACAAGAGTGACAGCTGGCTCCACAGTGCCCAGTACAGATCTCCCAACCGAGTCCAAACTGTGCAGGAGCCAGAAGAACCAGGCCAGCCCTGCTTCTGGACGCCTGGGCATTGGTACTTCAGGAATTCATGTTGGCCCAGTCAGGAGCACACTTCCTGGGATCCCAAAGGGTCCTAGGTTGCCTCTGGGTGCTAATCCACTATGTAACAACAAGTCTGCTTTCTGAGCCCTGGGCCAGGGGTCACTGGATAAGGTAGAGGCCTGAAAGAGGTGAGGAGAGATGGTGATAAGGCAGAAAGATGCCAAAATTTTGGCATCAGGCTCCAACCTGATCTTGCCTAATGGAGACCCAAGAAAGGGTTGGGACTAGCTGCATCAGCTTCCATCTAGGCATTTTCTGCCCTCTGCTGGCTGGTGGCAGGTCATCCTGGCTTCCAGCCCAGCCTAATCCCTTACTGTAATGCTGAGTGTTGGGAGAAAATTACTCTACTTGCCACCCCCATGGCTCTGTTAACAGCAGCAACCCAAGACATGCACACACCTGATGCACTTTGTCCCCATTCCTGTCCCAATAGATAGACATTTGCATGCATGTAGCCTCATGTACCTGTGTATACATGTGCAGATCTGCACATGCCACCTATACATAGATACCCAGAGACATCTGGCTGTGAAATACTTGTACCCATTAGTACACAGATAGTCCCCGATGGATGGGTACATGTGATGTGGGAGGTCCTTCTGTCTATGTGTTGCTTTTATTGGTTAATGAATAAAGAAACTGCCTCGGCCTGCTGATAGGGCAGAGCTTAGGCAGGTGGGGAAAACTAAAGTGAATGCTGGGAGAAAGAAAGGTGGAGTAAGAGAGAGGCTATGCAGCCCCCGCTGGAGACAGACACTGGAACTTTAGCCAATAAGCCACAACTATTCACTAACCCATAATTCCTCTTCCTTCCATGATTTTCCCCTTAACTCTTGACATTTTATATGCATTTGCACCCTAGTGCAATCTCTATTGACCTACCAAGATGTAAACCCCAAGTGGGTTTACCAGTGCTGCCCACCGAGTAGTAACACTATGTGCACATGGTTACGCCCTGGTCAGCCAGCTGTAGGATGGGCTCCCACGCCTTGATATTGGTAAGCACCTCTGTCCTCAGGAGCACACACTTTCAGTGCATACAGGGGACATCAGAAAGGTCAAATATTACATTTGGTTCCTAAGTGCCTCACCAAAAGGCTTACCTTGAAGGCTTGGTCCCCAGTGCAGATGTGTTTAGAGCTGGGTCTTTGGGGAGTGACTGACTCATGAGGGCACTGGCCTTGCTGGTGGACTGAGCTGCCGATGGATTCATAGCTTCCTGGCGTCTGCGTGGTGGCATGAACTTTAGGAGGTGGACTTGCGTGGAGGAAGCTGATCCCAGAGCAGTGAACACTTTGTTGGCTGGATATATTTTATCCTTGGCCTCTTTCTATTTTCTCTCTTCTTTTTCTCTTCCCTCCCCCATTCCTCCCTCTCTCTCTCTGCTCCTCCCTTTCTTCCTCCCTCCCTCTGTCGCTCTCCTCTCTTCCTTCTAATAACACCCCCTCCCCCCGATTCCCTGCCCCCATCTCTCTCTCCACTTCTCGGACTCCACAAAGTGAGCATTTCTGCCCCACACACCCTCTGCCATTTTTTTTTCCCATTTCACCATAGGCCTGGAGACAATGGAGCTAAGCAACTGTGATCTTCAACCCTTGAAGCCAAAGAATTTCCTTCTGCAAAGCTTTGTCACAGGCTGATTAACATGCCTCCTCTACAGCCACCCAACCTGACACCCAGGGTGTCATCACCATTAAAATCCCATCACTTCTGGACTCCTCAAACCCTTTGGGATGAGGCCTGCCTCTTTCTACAGATCCCAGCCCTCTCCTAGACTGGGAAATCTCAGCCTTTGCTGGAGATACCTCACATGCTTTGTTCTCAGACACAGCAAGGGAAGACGCCCCTGACTCAACAAGAGTGCTAGCCGGCCCGAGTAACCCATTTTGGCCAACATGACACACAGAGACAAGGAGCTGAGAGTCTGTAGTAGCCCACGTTCTGCCAGAGAGGTGGGAGCAGCTGGGATGTGTCTGTATTGCTGCCACGGGCTCATGTGATCTTGGCTGGGCTGGTCAGCCATGGGGGGACCTCAGGCAGGAGCTAAGGCTGCACCTAACTTCTCCCTGAGGAGACAGACCTCAGGTCTGTGAGCTGATTGAGTTGGGGGCTTGACTACCTTGATTTGAAGGCACCTGGCTGCAAGCAAGTCAGACCACACTATGTATATGTTTAGAGAACCGAACTCAGTCAGGCTGGGTTGGAGCACTGTAGTTTACTTCTGTCAACTTGGCACCTTCTCAGTTCACCCTCAACCTCCAAATAAATGCAAAAAAAAAAAAAAAAATCGTACTTCCGTCTAGAATGACAGTTCTTCCTCATGCAACGGGAACACGCAGACCTTCTCCCCAACAGGGGATGCGCAGTCCCTGGAAATGACCACTGTGCTCCCCGAGAACTTGTGGCTTACATACTGGGACATAAAGTACAACTATTAATGTCTTATGCTACAAGCAGGTTTGTCATGAGTGGAAGTCCATGCTGCTGAATCATAGGCCAGACCTTGTTGGGGGCTGCAGACTCCTGGCCCCTTGACTTTCTTTCCTGCCTCAGACCTTTGCCTGCTGGAGTGAACTGGGCAAAACAGCTTGTTTTCCTGTGCCTGCAGCTGCTCTGAGCACGAGATCCTCATGCGTTCCTGATGACAGGGGAGTGAATTCTGGTGGGTTTTACAGCTGAAAATCCCAAGAGCTGGGGAAGGCTATCAGTTAAGGATCCCTGCCTAAGCTTCCCTGGAGCACAATAAAGTTGGCATTGTTTCAAGGATGATTCCGTGTGTCTTTGTGTTTAAATCTCCAACCTAGTTCCTGGCTTGCGGACCTTAGCACGTACCTTCCCATAGAGCTGGGCTTTACAAGACCTCATCCCTGTCACCCTGACACTTTATCCATGAGCCTATGGGTCAAGGATGTGTGTGGCAAGGGAAGGAGACTGGTTGCTATCTACAAATGGGTCCTACCCACCGTTTAGTGAGAACTCCCAGGGAACACAAACCTTTGGATCTTGGTCTGTTCAGAGGTCTACCTACATGCCTTTTCCCAAGGCCGCTTGACCAGCTTCTCAATCTTGTTTCTCCCAAGTCCCAGCTAAACCGCTGGCCACAACCCATAAGCAGTATATGCAGAATCATATATCGGCACACACCGCAGTATAATCAGTATACACCACAGTATAATTATGAACATGGTCTAATCAGTATACACTGATTATGTGGTTCTGGCTATTTCTCTTCATAAGCAAACGCCACCATCACAACGTTCTGCCCAGAGGGAAGAGTTCCCTGTACCACTGCTCTTTGGATGTCTCAGAAAGCGCAGAATGCTGCAAGCTGCCCCTTTCCAGGTGCTGCGTACATCTCACGCAGAACTATCTTTGAAGTGCATCTGGAGTCTCTACCTCTGTCAGCCAATCACAGGGAATTTGCATGAGAAAAAGGGCAATTTATCAGAGGTGAGGACCATGGGCATGGGACATTTTATACTTACCACTTCCCTTTGATGATGGAGTAATACTTGAAAAGTCCTAACATTGTAGTTTATATAACGTTTTGGGTCCCTTCCTCTCTCTGTACTATACTAAGGCAGCCCCAGCATTTCTGTTTATTTGGTAGAGGCCAGTTTTGGGCCCTTCCTAACCCCTTTTGCCAGAGCACCGAATCCAAATCTTAGTGGGCTCACACCAAAAACCCCCAGCTCAACTCCTTGGTATTCCTGCCATCATAACCCATCTCTTTCCCATCCAGAAACCACGATGCACTGTAACTCATGCACTTCCAAGATGAGACTTGGCTTGGCAGGCTCTGACTATAGCTACCCAGACATAAGGACTGTTTTCAGGGCAAACACAGCCTCTAAGTACTCATGAGGAACCAGGGTCGGTGAATGAGAAGTTCTATTCCTTTCTCAACTGAAATTGAGGTTTCCGGAGGAAGTAATAACCAGGCCTGGCACTTAACTCCACTGGCTTTGAATTTGGGGATAACCTTGGTGGGTTCCTACATAAGCCAGTGATATTTAGGTAGGAAATGTGGACATACACAGGCATGGCCCTCGTTAACAGGAGCTTCCATAGCCTCGTCTCCTCCCTCACTGGTACAAACAGCCCTTTAGGAAAAGAAGTATTGGGGTTAAGAATCAGCAGCTGAACTCTTGATTCTCCAGTGACAAGGGACACAGCAAACTGCCAGGACAATGGGAGTCTCTGCCACAGTCATTCATAGCAAAACTTTATTATTGAACAGAAAACCCAGCAAAGGTTTTTCCTCTGCCAAGTCGCCCTCGGTTTAAAGTAAAGCACTGCATTTTAAAAAGCAATTATACATAAGTCTCTCCTAGAAAAGTCCTGCTAACATGTCTAGCAATTCACTGATTATATAAAGTAGTACACTTAGTGTAATTTGAACATTCCAACAGGAATCAAATCGAACCAGCAGAACCACTTCTGCATCTATGACTTCCATGTAGAGCACACATGCACACACGTCTATGACTTCCATGTACAGCACACATGCACACACATCTGGGGAGGTGCTCAGGCAGAACATGCGACCCGGGCCTTCTGCTTACAGTGCCTATGAAACTACATACAGTATACATACATTAAAGCTCTTCAGAATAAAGACATGAGGGGCCCTGTTCAGTTTGTGTCACGGCTTCATGTCTTAGTTTGTGCTTCTGCTTGGCACAAAAGCACACCGCCACCCTGTGGGTTGTCAATGACTCTGCTGAGTCACGCCAGGTGAGGACAATGAGCTGGAGCCAGACGATCCAGTCCAAGCTGTCAAAGCCGCCAGCGACAGCACAAGTACCATCAGTTTGGTATAGCTGGCGGGCCTTCAGGAAGCAGCGAGGCAAAGAAAGTCTTGAAGACTAGCCATGCGGTGCTCATAAACGATGGGCTGGCCTGCTCAGGGTCCAGCACGTCACGGTCTGCGGGGAGGCGGTTGGGGTCTTCCGTCTCAGGATCCGTGCCTTCCTACAGGCAAAACCACAATGGGGAAACCAATTAGGGTCTAGAGGGCATCTCTCTTGAGGACAGGTCAGGGCAAAGCCTGGCAGGCCGACCAGTCCTGGGGGATGAGCCCTTCGTGGCCAGGAGGCACCCCTCAGTGTCTACAGCACATCTGCAGCTGAAACTGCTCTTGACAGAAGAACCCTGACCTTCCGCTACAGTAATGAACTTGGCCACAGACTAACCAGTCCTCCAATCTGCTCAGCGCCCTGGGCTAGGAAACCAACCAAGGCCATGGTCAGTGTAGCCAGACTACAGAGGCAGTTTTTGTTACAAAGTATATATCCTTTAGGGTTATGCACCTATATGCCTCATGAAGAATCTGCTTCTACATTACTCTTCAGGAAATCTATTCTGAGATGTGCTTATGTAAATCGATCAGAATGACTATCATCAGCACTTTCCATAGTTAAATGCACTGTCACATAGCTCGTATTCTCAAAACGTGGGCCATCACCCCAACCCCCAATCATAACATATGCAAAAATTCCAGCTGCCATATGCCTATATAGAATAGTCAAAGTCTTAAAAATGGGTGCTGTAAGAATAAAGTTTTTTTTGAAACCATGAAACACTTAGCCTTAAAACATGGCAGACCACGAGTCTGAAAGGACTGGGGCGTGTGGCAGGGTAGGGAGGCCTGTACCTGGAGGTTATTGTTGGGGTCCTGGTTTGCAGCTTCCTGAGGAGGAGGACCATCACCCGGGAAGTTCTGAGCTGGCCTCTGTCTGAAGGGAAACCACCCGACGTGATGCCTTTGAGGAAAGCACAGACAGGTACCCTCAGTTAAGCCACGTGGCAGCCACGCGAGAGACTAAGGCACCGAAGCTCGTGCGATGCCACCTGCAGTCGGCTTGTCCGTCTCCTAGATTTTCTCAGGCCTCTGGTCCTTAAAGGCAGGAGCTGCCTTTTATTCACCAGCAATAAGTTAACAGCTGGCATGCAGTGTGTGTTAAGAATGCTTGTTAATAGGAACTAAACCTGGCCCTTGCAAACCTCGACAGAGCCAGTGTGCAGTGCATGAGCCTAGTCATCCTGAGGCTACAGAAGGATTCAAAGTTCAAAGCCTGCCTTGGCTACAGAGTGAGTTCATTGCCAGTCTGGTCAGCAAGACCCTGTCTCAAAATTTAAAAAAAAAGGAACAAGCTGAGACTGTAAGTTAGAGAAAGTGTGCTTGCTTGCCTGGATGGAGGAGGACCAGGGTCCTACACCTAGCACCACAGGAATGAAAACAAACCAAACTTGACAGAAGTAGAAATGCATTCATGCATAAAACTATATATACATATATATAATATAATATATACATAATGTAATAATAATCTAAGTTTGGTCACATAAATATTTGATTCTAAGAACTACAAAAATATTTGATAAAAGACTCTAATTGGAAAATCTAACAAAATTCAACTTTCAAGACAACATATTGTTTGTTGTACTTCTTACATTTTTAAAACTTAAAATAAAAACCCGTTTTTACTATAAAGAAAAACTTCCTTCTATCCATTGTAACCAGAGACCGATCCCTGTAGGCCAAGCTTTCATGGGCCGGATCCTCACAGTGTCAACTCTCCTGTACACTGCCGGAAACGTGGAAGCAGCCCTTGCTGCCACTCACTCAACCACAGACCAGCCCTCTAGCTGTGACATCCTCCAGACACTGCCAAATGTCCCCCGGGAGAGGATGCAGAGTTATCTCCCATCGGCAGCCATTGCTGTACACATGAACAGCTGAAGCAAGCAGCAGCTGTGTAAAGGGTCACTGGCCCTTCATGGCTGAGACAACAGTCACTGTCTGACCTTTGTCCTGCAAAGCGGCCACAGCCTGATAAACACCACTCTGTCCTGTCCCTCTCGGTGCTGCAGTGTGACTCTGTCCTGTGCCTCCCAAGCCCACCAGCCTGAAAGGTCATTTATTCACTTATTGGAGAATGAGACTATTCCTCTGGCATTAACATGGGGTTTCTGCACTCTGACTGACGCACAGCCAAGCCGTGGACTCCTCGCACTGGAAATGCCAGAACGACAGGATTGAAGTAAACCTCCTTCAAGGACCAGAGACTGAAACAAGGCGCCTGTACTCAAGCCACAATACAGTGTCGTTTTCAGTAAGGAGAAGAGAGAACCGTCTGCTTACAGGTACATAACCACGGTGGCGCCCATGACCATGAGGAACCTGCTCAGCGAGGAGTAGAAGTAGAGGATGCTGAGGAAAACGGAGAAGGTGGCCGCCGAGTAGGTCCAGTCCAGCCAGTCTCTGTTAATCTCGTCATCTTCTTCCACAAGAGGGCCACCCTGCGCATTCATCCGCAAGTTCTGGTTGGCTCCAGGATTAACGACCACTTGAGCAGCTGCATTCTGATTGGCTGGCTGGTTTTCTGCCGGAAACTGATTGTGAATAGGAGCTGGAGCTGGTGTAGAGACCACAGGTATTTCTTGTGCCCTTGGTGTTGGGACAAAAGCTCCTGATGCAGCAGTGGCAGCCAAGCTAAAACAAAAGCAACAGAAGCAGACACTGCTGAAGGCAGGGCGTCGTAAACACAGGGTGCTCTCGGCCCTGTGGGGCTTCCATGGCTAACAGTATGACTAGGACCGCATAAGCCTAGCTTGTCTTCATTTTAGAGAAGAATCTTTTTTAGATTGTGTGTGTGTGTGTTAGGGCACACACACACATTTTGAAACTCATTATATATCTCTGATCTCTGGCTGGCCTGGAACTTGTTATGTAGACCAGGGTGGCCTCGAACTCACAGAAACTTACCTGCCTCTGGCTCACAGATGTGGGGATTCAAGTGAGGAACTAAGAGCCACTAAAGGTACTGAGCACCATGTCTATGAAAAATGTCTTTAGAATGTCTGAGAGGAGCCACATGGCAAAGCTTATCCGGAACTAATTCTACATCAATACACAAATCAGGAAGCTGTTGTTTCCACTCTGCTACACCAGACCACAAAGAACAGGACTCTGGCAGACAGAAAGCCACTGCCCTCTCTCCCTTCCGCACTTTATAGCACAGATGGGATTTCTCGATTTCTCTTCATCCCAAGGAGCCCTGGCCACACCCAGCATGGCGGGACTCACTATTGCATGTAGTACTGTCTTGCATAGATCTGCTGAAACCAGGAGAGCTGCAGCCACCCATAGGTTGTGTAGCCGGAGAAGCCAGGCCCGAGACCTTGGAATGCCTGCTGGACAGCTTCAGGCCTGTATGCAGATTGAAACAGAAGGGCATTTTGAGTGGGTTTGGGATAAAGAGCTAAATAATAAGTTATAATCAGCAATTAAAGTCAGAAAGACAGGACGGCTCCCACCATGCCAACTGTATGGTGCACCCTGGACATCGAGTACAGCAGCCCTGAAGACAGGGTCCCGTGGTGGCTCACCAGATCCCATGGGAAACAAGGGCCCTGCCCGCCCTGGTCCCCACCATGTCGGCAGGGAGAGCTGCACAGCATGCAGACAGGCTGATGCTCTTCCTCGTGAGTCTCATCCAGGACTGGAACCACTCATCAGGCTTTACAGCCCGGCTACATCCCCAAGCCCTTCCTGAGAAAGATCGCTCCTCTTCCCTGACCCCAGTGAGTGCAGGTGACACCCTCCCTGTGTGCTGACTGGTCACCTGGTATACTACACAGCTAGATAACTACCTGACAACCTTGTAGAGAGAGTCCACCCTAATTACAGAAAGCCCAGTGCAGCTCAGAAAGTCAGGGACTCGCACAGCTCCTGAGCTAAAAGACCAGGCCCTGACTCTTAGACACGGTTTGTGCCATGCCAGACTGGCTTCTTCCGGCATGCACCAGCCTTCCCTTGCCCAAAGCAAGCGCATGAGAGGCTCAGGGCTGTGCGCTTCTTATGCACATGAGGGGAGGAAGCCCCACATTCCATAATCTGTTACATGCCTTGTTGGGTAGGAGTCAAGAAACCTCAACACAACTGATAAAAATTGCATAGCGATAAATCAATACAACAACAACAAAAAAAAAATAAAAATGGCGAAGCAATAAATGCTTCTGTTCCTAAAAAGACATCCCAAACAAGATGTCCAGAACAATAAAGCATCTTCCTTAAGGCCAGAAGGTTCCCGACCTGGAGTTTAGCTTATCAGGACTCCCCTCCTATCCCTAAATCTAGCAACGTACCTCAAAAAACTTACTACTTACTTCATTTACGAAAGGAAATTCTCCAAGAGAAAAAAATAAAACTGGTGTATTTTCACTTCATTTTTAAACTCCGCTCCATCTTTTTGTTTGTTTTTTTATTTTCGTTTTTTGAGACAGGGTTTCTCTGTAGCTTTGGAGCCTGTCCCAGAACTCACTCTGTAGACCAGGCTGGCCTCGAACTCACAGCAATCTGCCTGCCTCTGCCTCCCGAGTGCTGGGATTAAAAGCGTGCGCCACCACTGCCCGGCACTTTGCTTCACTTTTGTTTTTCAATCTTGTCATCAATTCTGTCATTTGAGCAGGGTCACTTAAGAAGCCATAAGGACAGGGCTGCAGGGAGATGGCAGCCATCGGGAAGCACATCCATTTAGGGGCTAAAAGGCCTGTGTTTTCATTTCATGGGCCTACTTTCTAAAATATATATCAAGAGACTAATAGTAAGAAAAACAGACCCATGAGGCCTTTAAGAGGAAGCCATCTTGTACATCCTGAAGCTCCGACTGCACCTGTGCGAACACGCCTCATCCTGACACAAATGGAGCACAATCACGGTCGTCATGAACACTCACCGGGAGATGTTCTCCCATCCGGAGGGAGAAAGGTTTCGAAGAACTTCCCTTTGCCTTAGACCATCACTCGAGGAATCCCCAGGATGCTGTGCCTGATTAGTGTTCGCCGGCTGCTCTGTGGGTTCAGTGCTCTGAGGAACACAAAGGTCAGAGCACAGGACCTGATGCAACTGTGTGCAATCAAGAGAAGAGCGCTGCCTTGCTACCAGTGCCTATCCTGATCCCCGCCCTCAACTGCACAAATTAAGTACAATGTAACGTGAAAAAAATCTCTATTTGTTCACTGCAATAATTTTCAACATACAGATACTAGGGCTGAATGCAGCTCAATGGTAGAGCTCTCGCCTTGCCTTCATGAGGCCCTGGATTCAAGCCCCGGCAAAAACACCTCTCTATATCGATACCAATAACTAATACATACGCACATACGCACTAAAAATAACATTAGTCACGTTTCTGTTTCCCTAAGAATAACTACTGTAGTCTCAGGAAAATCTTCCAAACGCAATTGTCATTAGTGAGAAAGCTTCCTGATGATGCTAAAATGTACGGTGCTAAACCATAAAGCCTCGAAGTTAAATGGGACCCTCGAGATGATATAGATGATGAGGCAGCATATGTGATATTCAGATGTTGCAGGAAATGCAACTGGAATGCAAATGTAAGTCCTTTAGCACACTAGAAGATTTTAGTGTATACTTAAGCAAGCATCGTGGAGTGAAAACACAAATGAGTCTGTCAAATTAAAAGTCTTTAGAGATGATACAAGGAAGACTGTGGCTTTTTCCTGTCCCAATAATCATGACAGAAATTTCTACAGGAAATATAAACTACTCTTTATAAAAAGTAATGTTACTAGCTTGGCTGCAGGGACACACGCCATTAATCCCAGCTCGGGAGGCAGAGGCATGTGGAGCTCTGTGAGTTCCAGGACAGCCCGGTCTACAGAGTGAGTTCCAGGTCAGCCATGGCTACATAGAGAAATCCTGTCCCAAAAAAAAAAACAAAAGCAAAATGTTCCTTAGAGAAATGTGTTCATTGCAAATGTAAACCCACTTTCAAGAGCCATCCTGGTGCTGTATTCCAGACACACAGTGACCTCAGGCCAGAGGCCTGACTTTGCTTTTGCACACAGCAGGTATTCTGCGTCTGCGGCCCCTACACCCAGCCTTTACTGTGCTGACATGGCCTCTAAGTTCTGCTCCGACGGCGCAGGGAACACTAGAACATCTTTCAAGTTTCACTCAACTTCCTTTCTCCCTCCCATGAGACGCGAAGACACAAATAGTTATTATCACAAAAGGGTCACGTACCTTTGTGCTGGCTTCTGGCATTTTTGAGGGACTCTTCACATTGCATACCAGATGCAAAACATGTCGCTTTTCCTGCTGCAGAGTGTAATAAGAGACACCTTAGGAACAGGACTCAACCCGCGAGTGCTTGACAACACCCCAAAGCTGATGCTAAATGCCACAAAGTACCTTTGGAAGCAAGTCTCGGAGACACTGGTGATCCAACAGCAGCTTCCCGGAATAAATTAACCTCTGGTCCTCCGGGCGCTGAGCACAACAGAAGGAAAAGCAAAGTCAGCACAGATCCCAGCGTTTGCCGCAACACCACACAAGACTTTTTTAAGTTCTCATATGCAAAACTTTTATTAGAAAGTGATTAACTTTAATCTCAAATATATATGTAAATAAATTCGGGAGGCAAATGATCCCGTAGTCCATAAGAACTGTGGTCACATCCCTTACTTCTTACTCAGAGGGAGACTTGCTTCCTGCTGCGAAAAACACAAACTGCATTTAGGGCCTCAGCAGCAACAAACTTTAAAACCTGGTTTGGCTCCAGTGAAAACTCAGTGTACCTATGGTCAGTCTTCGCCCATAGCACCTGAGGTGGCCTACTGCTAGGACCAAGATTCCAAGCCATGTTCTCCTCCACACCAGTGACATCAAAGACAACAAGAGTTCACACACTTTTATATGATTCTCATTTCTAAAATCTATTTTTAAATTTCTCTTTAACCATACTTACAAAAGTATGTACTTAGACAGATCTTATCTCAAAATACTGCACCAACCTAGGCATGGTGGTACATGCCTATAAGCCCAGTACTTGGGAAGTAGTGGCAGAAAGATCAAGATGAAGGCTAGCCTCAGATACAGAACAACTCAGGCTAGTCTGGGCTAAGAAGCCTTGCCTCAAAACCAAAACAATCTGCATTTACTAATCAGCATCTATAAGGGCTTTCTGACACTGCACCTAAAACAAAAACCATACTGGATGTTGTGTTCGCTGTTGCTCTGACTGGCTTTGCTGGTAAATGCTATTCACGTCAATTTGCAAAATATTCTTCTAAATGTGAAGCCAACCACCAGCAAAGGCTGAACCAAACCACAGTTGCCTGTGGATTTGAACTGTTCTCTTCCTTTAAAGGTTCAAACTGACACTCTGTCCTCAAGGCCAATTTGAAAATAAAATGCTAAGCAAATAATGACTATAAAGTTGGGGTTCCCACCCGACGGCAGCACTACTCCAGAAATTATGAGCATGCTTTCTTCCTTAATTTCTGAGAGAGGCGCTCACTAGTATAGCCCAGGAGGCCATGACCCCCCCCCCCCCCCCCCCCCCCCCCCCCCCCCCCCCCCCCCCCCCCTCCCCCCCCCCCGGCCCCCCCCCCCCCCCCCCCCCCGTGTTGGCCTTCCCAGTACTGCAATACAGAAGTGCCCCGCTGTACTTCCCGGTACCCCATTCATGGTAATTTTTAAGGCACAGATTGGTATACCCAGGAGACCTGTATTTACCCCCTCAGGTCTTCAAATCCAAGAGGCCCAATGTTCCTTGCCTGAGAAAAACAAGCCTCAAAACACAGCGTTCTACAAATGATGCAACCAGAGATCACACGAGCATCATATGTGCCTAACTGCCACCTCCCAACAAGGACACCGGGTCTCGTGGAAACAGCTTTGGAGATATTACAGACCGCACAGACAAATTCCAGAGGGCATGGGGCTGGAAGCTTACATTCAGAGTAAGAAAGTTCCTAACAACTCAAAGGGAAAAGTCTGGTCTACATTCCCTACAGTACGGAACAAAAACTGAAACCCACGCGCCACCACCGCCGGTTGGAGCTCGAAGGCAACCAACCGCTCCAAGTCCCCGTCTGTAGCCACCCGATTGCCCTCTCCCGTTTGATCCAGAACTGCACTCGTGGACACTTACATAACATCAGAGTACAAAGTAAATACAGGAAGGTCCAGCAGAGTCTCCGTCACGTGGCAGGGACCGGAGGGGTGGGCGGGGCTAAGGGAGCTGTTGACAGATGTGTCAACTAAAAAAGAAAGCCTCCTTAACTGACCCACGGAAGTCGTCAAACCAGACTCAGGGCGACTCCAGGGCTTCCTTTCTCAATCACCCTTTGCTAGAAAGTTAAGGGGGCTCCTCCCCCGGACTAAGGAAAGCCTCTAGAACGCTGAGCTACAGGGAGGGGCAGCCAACGGAAGGTGGCAGGAGAAAAGCCACGTCTAGCGTCTGGGCGCGGACCTTCAGAAGTTGGTGACTGGGCACGCACCCCCGCCCTCTGTCCCAAGCTGGCACAAGCACTCTTCTGTCCTCGCTGCACCCAGAAGTCTTGTTTGTCAGCATTCACATTTCTTATGGATGCAAGTCGAATTGGGAACACCTAGTCACCGAGTTGTCTTTGGGGTGGGGGGTGTCACTGTGGCTTAGATGGGGAAATGACTCATCCAAGGTCAAATTACTGTTTCCCTGACTTGGCTGTGTGCTACCTGGGAGGACGAGGAAGAGGTATGGGGACGTGGAGCTGACGTGTGACATCCTCGGGAGTAAGGAGATACAGGGAGGCAAAGTGACAAGGAGCTAGCAGGAAGCAGGCGTGGAGGGGTGGAGGCCCGGAAGAGATGACAGATCCTGGGGCAAGCAGAGGGGTACCGGGGACGGTCGGGCAGGAAGGAGCCCCGCGCCCTGCAGTGCGTGACAAGTGAGTTCAGGCAGCCCCGCCGGGCGTGGCACCACGGTACCCCCCACTCACCGGACGCTCGGGGTAGACTCGGCTCAGGTGGGCCTTAAGGTGGCTCACACTCCAACTGCGGTCGCCGCTCAGTTCCAAGTCGCGATGGCGCTGGTTGGGGCTCTTCACCAGCAGCGTGACCTGTTCGGGCTGCGGCTCAGGCTGCGGCTCGGGCTGCGGCTCGGGTTCCATGCCTGCGGCGTCTGCGGCTCGGCTGCGCTCAAGGATGCCGAGCGGGAGGCGACGCAGCCGTCGGACACGGCACAACGACACTTGGCGTCTTTGGGACGCGCGCCCCCGTCTCGGGTACCTTTTATGGGCGCTGCGCACCAGGGCCCGACAAACAGCGCTCTCTGTGGCTGCAGCCCATTGGCTGAGACAGAGGTCAGTGCCCAACGTGGCCCAATCAGCGCTCGGAGCAGGGCGACGATGGGGCGGGCTGAGCGCGAGGGTGCGGGCTGATGCAACCCGCCGTGGTTGCGTCATCCCGAGTCACGGCTGCGGCTCGGGAGCCCGGTTTCGGCGGCCATGTCAGGGTGCGCTCCGGGGCGCTGGTCCTGTTCGGCTGCCCTACCGCGGGGTGCATGCGTGCCTGAGTCCGGACGGCCCGCCCGACTCCCACTTTAGCCGGCTCTGCAAATTGTTTCCTCACAAAGCGGCCCTCCTCCCTTTCTGACCCCAGGCACCGGGCACACACGTCCGCTTGCATTTCCCCCGGTGGCTCCGCAGCCTGGCATCCAGGGACGCCTTTCCTCCCGGACTAGCCTGCCTGAGCTGGCGCCTTAGAGGCAAAAAGAAAGCAGACTCGCGTCGCCCTGAGCTGAGAAGAGGATGGTGGATTCAGGCACCTGCCAATTTGCCCTTACTCCTGGGCTTTTAACATTGCACCAAGTGTAGGACTTGCCCCTTGCTATTAATGGCTTTTAAATTGGGGTTGAGACAAGGACAGGAGTGATCGTCGATTCCTGGAATCTGAAAGAGGCCTCTGTGTTGTCAGCGCTCCTCTAACGTAGGAAACACAACTGGCATTGCCCTGATCCCATCCATCTCTGGCCCAATCCTTTTGGGACACCTAGACTTTCAGCTGTGTCAGGAGGTCAGAGGAGTAACAGGAGAGGCTTGGTAGGGATGGTGATGTGATTTTGCTGCACAACCAGAAGGCAGGCACGTAAACTGGGGCTCAAGCCACTGAAATTTATTTCGCAGCTGTAGAGGGTAGACGTCTCAGACCAGGAGGTAGGGCAGTATTGTTTTCTGTTTGTGCCACTGGTAACTTCTGCAGGTTTGCCAGCTGTCGGTACTTATTGGCTTCCAGGTGTATTGTTCCAATTTCGACCTGCTTACATGGCATTCTCTGTGTGTGCACGCACATACACGTGGGTGAATTTTTCCGTCATCTTCATGCGTATCTGTTCAATTTTCCCCTTTTATAAGGATACCAGTCGTCTCGTAGTGGCTAATGACCTCATCTTAGCAGATAGTTTCCTTCATGCCACCACATTCCTGGGGCTGAGAGACTACAGCGTCTCTCTAGAGGATGCACTGTATCTCACCACAGATGGGCATCTGCCAGGGACCCACCGGAAACATGCCACAGAACACTAGATGCTTTCCTTCTCCGTTTTTGGGCTAAGGATCATTGAGGCCAGGTGTGGTGGGGCCACATTAATCCCAGCACTCTGGAGGCCAGCCTGTTCTACAGAGTGAGATACAGGACAGCCAGGGCTACACAACAGTGAAGCCCTGTCTCAAAAAACCAAAACAGAAAAGAGAGGAAGGAAGAAAGGAAAGAAGAATCGTTGAGGTCAATGGTGGTACAATGTTAATCCCAGCCCTCTGGAGGCAGAAGCAGGCAGATCTTCAGAAACTGGAGGACAGCTGGGAGGGTTCAGTCTTCTTTAAAGACTGCAGCCAAGAGCGTGTGATCTCTGCCATTGTGTGCCTCACAAAAGACTTAACACCCTCTTGTTCCTTAGAATTATTTTTTAAAGCTTTATTTCGGGCACGCATGTATCTGTGCATGTGTATAACTGTGACTGTGCAGAGACCAGAAGAGTGTCACAGGGTTTCCTTTGTTACTCCCCACCTTTTCCTTTGAGACAGGGTCTCTCCCTGAACATGGGGCTCATGTTTTCTCAGCGAGGCTGGAATCTAACAAGCATTAGCAACCCTCGTGTCTCTCCACTGCTCAGAGTTGGAGTTCTGGACCTTTGCAAGGGACACTCAGCTTGTGTGGATGCTGGGATCTGAACCCTGGTTTGTTTGTTTGTTTGTTTGTTTGTTTTTTCGAGACAGGGTTTCTTTGTGGCTTTGGAGCCTGTCCTGGCACTAGCTCTGTAGACCAGGCTGGTCTCGAACTCACAGAGATCCGCCTGCCTCTGCCTCCGAGTGCTGGGATTAAAGGCATGCACCACCATCTCCCGGCCGGGATCTGAACTCTGATCCTTGTGATTTTGAAGAAGCGATCTTAATCTCTGAGCCATCTCTCCAGGCTCACCCTCGTAGGCTTCTTCATAAGCATTATAGTTTTATTCTGCACTGAGCCCCACAAATTATGTGCTTTTCCTACCTCTTCTGGATGGGAAAACATAACTGATTATGAGGCAGCAGGCTTGCTAGCTAGAAACTACCAGTGAGGTAAGAGCAGATAAGACAAGCAGATACCTTGGGGAGACGTAACCAGGCAAGAGATAAGGGCCTCTCATTGGCAAATGAAGACTGTCTTCTCGCCTTCAGGGACAAACCTTGGGGTCCCTAAGACATCTTGTCCATTTTCACTCATTACTACATGAGGAAAGGGTGGGCTGGGGATGCCCCTTGATGATAACATGCTAGCCTAAAATGCATGAGGTTCTTGGTTTGATCATTGGTGGTGGTGGTGGTGGTGGTGGTGGGGTATCTGTATTGTTGACTTTGCCTTCCTCTCTCCAAGGAGAAAAACACATCCAATTTGTTTGGCTTGAATTATCGTTCTATGAAATAGCCCCCACTGAAGGACTTTGGTGATTTTGCTTCTCTTATGTTTAGAAAAACACTGAATTTGGCTCAATAAATGGTCAAGGATAGGAAGATAAACACAATATGACCCTGCTCTTCTCGGCCCCACAAATCTAAAGGGCAGCAGCTGTGGGGCAGGTGATAACAGAAACACAAAAGGAAATGCAAACACCGAAACACCGCATACTTTTTGTTTTGAATGTGGGACTTGCCATGTAGTCCAGGCTGGTCTTGAACTTGTGATCCTTGAGTCTCAGCTTCTTAAGGTTTAAAAGTATGTGCCACCATCATTACCAGTTTTTGTGTGCATGTCTGTTTTGTTTTTTTGGCTTTTTGAGGGGCCCACCACCCAGCTCCCAAAGGTTTTATTCTTAGTTATGAATGACCAAACTTAGCTTGGCTTGTTCCAGCTTTTCTTATGTTAACCTTTCTACCTTTATCTTCTGGGCTTTGATCTTTATTTCTGTATACCTTTACTTATTTCTCTGTGGCTTGCTGTGTAGCTGGGTGGTTGGCCCCTGATGTCCTCCTCTCCTTGTTCTGTTCCTCTTTCTTTCTTTCCTTCCAGATTTCTCCTTCTGTTTATACTCTCTGCCTGCCAGTCTCACCTATCCTTGCTTCTGCCTTGCTATTGGCCGTTCATCTCCTCATTAGGACCCTCAGTTGTTTTAGACAGGCAAAGAATCACAGCTTCACAGAGTTAAGCAAATACAAGCAGAAACAAAAGTCACACACCTTAAAATCATAGTCCCCAACATTTCCCCTTTTTTTCTTTCTAAACAAAGTGAAGTTTTAGCTTTTAGCATAGAAAGACTGTACACAATAAGAACAATTATCGAGTAAAGATTACATTCACAGTGTACTGAATTTCAGTTAATTTGTGTCTGATAAATTTAAGGAAATTACTCTATAATCTATCCTATCTTAGTAAATCCAAAATTTTATACCTACCTTACTTTCTGTCACATCTAAGGAAAACTGCAACTATATCTAGTCTTCAACTCCATCAAAGAAGAATAGAATATTATTTAAATAAACAAAAAGTGCATTGCAAACAACTTCCAAGACAACTTCCAAAAAACTCTAGAATTGACAGAGACATCTGACTACTTAAACAGTCACTCAGAGTTCCTTTGCAACATTGGGACGTCCATCTTCAGCCTACAGGCCCATAGTATCTGACAGACTTTTCAATGAAGCAGGAAATTTGAAAGATTGTCCCACCTATATTGGCAGTTTGTCAGTCACTTTCCTCTGTGTCTCTGTGTCCTGAAGAATGTCTGGCAGTTTCTTTTGTGAAGCAGGAACCCTGAAGGACCAACGTGCCTTGTTTTGGGCAAAGATTGCAGCAGTCACTTTCCTGTGGTTCCTGCCATGTCCAGTCTGCATAGCACATAGTCAGCAGTCAAAGGCAAGAGCAGTTTCTTTGCTCAGTGGCTAACCTTGCCACAAAGAAAACTCTATAAGGAGTTTCTTCACACCCTATCTTCTCTGAGAGTAAATTGGCACTGCCAGAAGCAGATGTGTCTCACTGTCATGAAAAACTTTAAATTAACAAAACATTTTAAATACCACATCCTATAGGTCTTTGAAGGATTTGAAGACCATCCTATCTATCTAAAATCTATATATGATCTAGAAAACATACCTAGCATAGCTACAAATTTGATTGTTATAGATTGCTAACTACTGACCTGTGTTTCTTGATTATCCTAAATAATTCTTAATAATAGTTTTCAAAAACTAGAATTTTACCATACTTTTTAAATGAACTACATAGGTACAATACCTTAAATAGGAGAAGAACATATATACAATATGTTGTAACAAAAATAACCTTAAATTTGTATCAATATACAAAATCCTTTAAACAAGAGGAGAAACATATACACAGTGTAACAAAATTGACTTTGAATTTGTACCATATACCAAAATCTGAGGTTAATAGTTGTCTTTTTATCCTATATTCCCCTAATTATAACAAACTTCCATGACCCACAAAATAGTCAAAGGCCACCCACACCCCCTATTCACTTGGAAAGGTAGATGTTGTCTTCTCTAGACTGCTTCTTGCTGAATGTAGGCGAAGTATTTTTAGGGTGCCAGAGAGAAAATTTGAGATATTGGCCAAGTCCTGGGGAGACCAGTTATAACCTTTGTTGATAGATACCACCTGTCAAGTTTCAGGCGTTTTCCCCTGATCAAACCAGATCCGTATCAATGTGGAACTAACCCACAGCCTTGTTTCTTATGGAAACAAAAGCAAAACCTCTTCTCCAAAGCGTTTTTTGATTTCCATTTAACAAATACATCTTTTAACTTTTTTAAACTTAAGGCATTCTTAAAATACCTAGGCTGGTTTATTTCCATAGTCCCTTTTCAATCCCAGGTCTCTTAGCAGCTGTCCTTCACTTTTCAGCAATCAAAAAATTTAAAATCAGCACAGGATCCAGACTCCCTGTGCTTCCCATCTTTACGTGGCTTTTTTCCTTTTACATTACTTT